GTTGTGGGGTTGTTATCCAATGTCATAAAATAATATGTGTAAAAAAAAAAGAATATCTATGTCAACTGTACAGCAGGTATGCAAAATATCAAAGCTTGTACTGATATTTACAAAGCTTTCCTTGATGTGGTGAATGGTTAATATGTTCCCTGCAAATTGATTTTGAAGACTCCCAAAGGAAAGATTAGAAATATGAGTGCACACGCTGCTGCTGGCATCAATGAACAGGGAAGAGCTTTGGAGAGCAGTAGCCATGAAGAAGCCACTTGCGGTACTGGTGAGAATACTGGGAAAGGAGAAAAAGTAGGAGCAAGAAAATCCTCCAGAGAAAAATCTGCATTCACTTGAATCATCTGAGATGACTGGAAGAGTGCCATGCCCACCCACTGCTTTTTCCCTGCAACCAGAAGAATCAGAAAAAAAATGAATAGAGAGTTTCAAACCTGAGAGATGCTAGACTGCAGTAGAAAAATCAGGTCCAGTTCTGAAAATGAAAGTCTGAACTGTTTTGAAAATTTACAGAGTGGATATATTATATTTATTATAAATGTAGTTTGTGATAAAATAGTCTTGTTAATTTGACAACAGGCTGTTTCTCTACCAAGTATTCATTTAAAAAAAGGGAGAGAAGCAAATGTTGAATACTTATACCAGAATATTTTATTAATTCCAAAGTATTCTGTCAGCTTGGTCTGTGTTTGCCTTATGAAACAGAAGCAGTATCTACAATTATTTTTTTCAAGGAATACTGTTTGCATATGTTGCTTTTACAGTTCAATCTAAATATACAGTTTTGTATGCGCTGTAATAGAACAGTGTAAAAAAATTTAAACTGATTTACAATTATATTGAATTAATTGCTTTTGTATTTTACAATGCATTTTTGTACCAACATTATTGAAGGTTTTTCAACTAGATGGATACTTATATATCTTTTCTCCTGGAAATTTCTTTATAATATACTAATGTTTAACACAGAAAATCTTATTTGAATAGAAACGATGTTAAAGAGAATTTTGAATTAAGAAAACAAAATGTTGAAGTGTTTGTTTTTGTTGTTTGTTTTTAGCAAAACACTTCCAGTGTCTCTTGGTTTTCAATTGCCCATAGGATAAAGTCCAAACTCCTAAGCAGTACATGAAAAGCATTTTGCCTACTTTTCCTACCACTCTCACCCCAACGTAGCTAAGTCACACGGAACTGCCTACCATTTCGCCAAATACTCCATTCACTTTGTTTACACTGTTGCCTCTGTAATGTCTTTTCTCCAGTTATCTGTTCAGCAAATCCCTATTTATTATACTAAACTAGCTCAAAAGTTACTTCCTTTTCAATGTCTTTCCTGTCTTCCCCAGGAAGAATTACTCTCCCCATTTCCATGGCAATTTCATACATCTGTTTTTATCACATTCGCATTATAAATATGTTTATGTGTCTATCTCTCACTGAACTGCCAGCTTTTTATCCTTAGCACCTGAGACAGACCTTGACACATTGGTATTTCCTCAGTAAAGGTTTGATGAATGAAAGAATGGAAACCAAACTTTGCCATCAAAAGGCTTGGGGTTAATATAGGCACGATGAGAGAGCAATTCAACGTCTTTCAATATCCATACTAAAAGTTGTTGTTAGTTGCTGTCGAGTTGATTCCGACTCATGGCAACTCCATTTGTGCAGGGTAGAAGTTTTCCCTAGGGTTTTCAAGGCTGTGACCTTTTAGAAGCAGATTGCCAGGCCTGTCTTCTGAGGTGCCTCAGGGTGGATTTGAACCACCAACCTTTTGGCTAGTACTCAAGTGCCTAACCGATTGCACCACCCAGGGACTCCAAACTAAAAGTAGTTGCTTGGAATTATTTGTCAGTAATGGAATTGGCTGGCAACAGGAAAAAGCTGAGAAGTCCAGGACCAGAAACAGAAAAGTGAGGCCCTGAGGAGTAAAATGGGCACTTTAAAAAGGACCTATGGCTGATGAAAGTAGAGGGGAAAAAATTGAATACAGGTTTTGGACATAAGCCCAGTTCTCTTTATGCATATAAATCTTCACATGGCATTCGAGGCTGTCCATGGCCTGGTTCCATCATGCATTTTATGCTTTATACACCACCATTCCCTTAGGTGAGCATACTCTCCAGTAGACAGAACTCCTTTTTTCATAAAACATGTCCTTCTCTCCTTAGCTTCCATGCTATTGTTCTTCGGATTTCGTCCCTCTGCTCAAAATGCAGAATAACTGCCACCTTGCTCATGTAATTTTCCATGATTCCCCACTTGAATTTAAGCTCCACTTCCTCTGTGCCCACCTCACACTTTATTAATACCATTCTTACAGCAGTAGTTACACAGGCATGGTACCAACCAGACAGGGTAGGTTTAGGAATAAATGAAGGTCAGTTGGGGCATGGGTAAGCACAGTAAAGGCAGTGTTCCAGAAAGGGAGCAGTGGTAGTTCAAAGGTCAAAGAGGGAGGTCATCACATCTGGCTGGCTCATGCACTGTTGGATGCTCTCCCTCCTAGCGGAGGCTAAGGCATGGGTCTTCTCCTGAAAGTGGAGGTGTCCCTCCTCAGTGAGCCTCCAGAGGCAAGACTGAGGCCTTGAATTGGTCCCATCCGGAAGGCTGACCAGTACCTTCTCATAGCTGCCCAGGAAACAGAGATTGTGGTAGATTGTGTTCTTCCAGCCATCTGGAGCTGTCCAGAAAAGGGAGAAATGCTGTCGGGTGAAATTGTAGACTTCTTGCACATTGAGGCCCCAAGGGGGGGGGGGGGCTGTTTCTTAATGCCAAGGCAATTATGTGGCTGTAATGGAGTGGGAGCCAAGGCCAGGACCTCCTCTCCTGGCTGTTGGTTTGCCATAGCTTCTGGCTCTGGAAACACTCCCCTTTCTTAGGGTACTGGAGAGCCACAGAGGAGTTGTCATATTGTTCCTCAGCCTCCTCTTCCATAAGCTCCCAGTCACTGGGAGAAGAAGCCAATTGCTTCTGTGGGGGAGATTGCTCGCTGGAGGAAGATGGCAGGGATTCCACCACTGTGGCCTCTGAGCAGTTAGACTCTTCATCCTTCAGTGGTGGCTGAGAAGAGAGAGGCATGCTTGCCAGACCCTTCTTTTTACTGGGCTTTGGGGCCTCCTCGCCACCTAGGGAGCACACGATGTTGGTGTTCACCCACATCCACAGATTGGGTTCATAGTCAGGACCATCCTTGTCAGGATTGAGTTTCCTCTCCAGAGGCAGCTTTGGGGACTCCATTATTCGGAGTCTGTATTTGGTAAGGTTCTGCTCAGCCAAGGAGCACTGATCTGTGGTGCGGGGCAAGAAGAACTCATTCTCCATGTCCCAGTCAAGCAGCCCTGGGACCTGGCCATGGAGACTGTACCAGAACTCGGGATTTTTTAGTTTTAGGTCCATGTTTAGTGGAGAGATGGGTGGGGGAGACTTCCAAGAGGACAGAGATCTCTGAGACACTTTTCAAAACGTTTGCTGGGGCACTGATTTTGATGCGATCTATTTCATCTAGGGAGCTTATTAGGAGGCCTGCTAGAAGTACTGGCTAAATGAGTACCAACGCCTCAGTTATTAAGTGGTCAGACTTTGAGAAATCTCAGCCTTCTGGAGCAGAGCAGGGAAGTAACTAAAAGCAGCTTTTTGGCAGAAAAAAAGTCCAACGTGGAATTCCTGAGCTTTCACCGGAAGCAGAAGTAGAAAGTCTCCAGGTGAAGACCTGCAAACTTTGAATTATATGCAAACTAAAGTGACTTGTATAACAGATGATTATCTGGCATACCCTTCAAATCTTGCTGGGTTCATTTAATGAAGGGACAAACACATGTACAGATCTCATATCTCCGAGTCATCCTTAAATGGTTTAGTAAACATCATTTTACTTTTAAAGTGCCTTTTTAACTTTTGTCAAGTGCTTTCACATAGATGATCTCAGCTGATTTTCATGACAGCCCTGCAAGATAACATAGTGGGTGTTATTAACCCCATATTACAGATAAATTAACTGAGATTTACAGAACTAAAGTAACTTATTTAAGATTACATAACTAACTAAGGAGCAGAACTAGATCTACGGCCCAGGTCTTCTGATCCTTTCACTATACCACACTGCCTCTTGACACATTCAATATATAAAGGCGGCAGCAGTGTCTGTAACCTGAGTTTTAGAGTAAGGTAGTAACTGTCAGAAGATGGCCTCCGTCAGTCTCAAACCAATACTAGAAACTAACCTTGCTGTTATTTTCAATCCTGTCCTGGGAAACAGCTGACTTCCCTCTTCCCGGGTCACCTTAGGAACTGATTTTTGAACTGCACTCTGAAGACAGTAGGACCAAAGTTTAGCCATGCCACACAAGGTCCTGAAAGTGCCAGAGTTTGTCTTTCCCCTAAGTTCCTCCCAACGACATTCTTAGGAAAAACAAAATGGAAAGATTTCATTTAATCCAGTCTGTAACCTGCCCATTTATGATCAGATTTCATTAAAATCACTACATAGGACTATGCCTCAAACATATCCAGCAAATGACAATGGGAGCAGTGGGGGGTGGGCAGAGGGAACTGATCTGTAGTTTCCCCACCCTCAAGTTCTAGTCTATGCAAAATCATTCTCCATATAGGCTACCAGAGTGGTCTTTATACTGTACAAATATAAATAGATAATAACAATATCGAGTGCTCTAAAAACTCTATGTGATTTAACTCACTAATCCTGAAAGCAACACTATGAAGTACAGACACATTATTTTCACAGAGGAAAAACCATAAGGTACAAAGAAGCCTAAGTTACACAGCTAGTACGAGAGAGATGAGTTTCAAACCCAGGCAGCCTGGCTGCAGAGCATGTATTTTTACCTATAACACAAAACTCTTCTGTCTCTATAATCCAACACAAAACCCATGGCTTAATGCAGCATAAAAGGCCCTCAAGGATCCCATCTCTGCTTACCTTTTTAGACTAATTTATTACCTTAGCTTCCATGCTTCATATTTCATATCCTGGAACACTGAACTGTTCGGATTACCACCTCTCGTACCCCGCATGTCTTTTGTCTATGTCTCCTTGCTCAAGTGCCACCTCTGCATGGAATGGCCTAACAGCCCAACTGCCTTGACTTGGATAACATCTGCTCAAGGAGGCCTTCTCTAAAAAAATGCTTCTTCCACCACTCCCCCCATAGGGAAATAATGGATCCCCTTGACAGTGAGGCAACAGCTTTACTATGACCTGGGCAAAGCAGGAAACTGACCATAAAGATTCAGTTTATTATGCCGACTCCAGAGCGCCTAGAAGCATTTTAGCCCACACATGGGGGAGCTAGTATTATAGAATTTATCTTCCATCTTCAACAGGGAACCAGGCAACACAGTCTAATCCTTAGGGATTGGATGGTAAAACCAGGTCATGGCTGTGTATTTCATATTTTGAACTTCGAACTTCATTAAGTCATTTAATTTATAGGCATTGAGTGTCTACCTTGTTCCAAGCAGAGTATAACAGGCCTGGTATATACTGAGATGAGTAAGACACAACCCAAGAGGATATCACAGCATAACAGGAGAAGACAGACAAAAAAAGAGAAATTAAAATACAATGTGATGAAAGACACTGTGCTAGAAGAGAACAGGGAGGGAAAACTGAACCTAGATAATAGGAATAAGAAGTGCTTCCTGTAGGTTTTGCTTGATCTGAGGCTCAATGACATGTTACCCAGGGGCAGAGACATGGGGAACAGGCCAGCATATGTCAGACAGGTATCTGCTACCTTGTCTCTTAAATGTGTTCCATAAAAGGAGGCAGGAGCACTTAACACATTCTATGGAAAAATACTTAAACTCGTATTTGTAGGTATCTTGTGTCCCAGGCTTCCACCCATCGCAAGTGTCAATATAGGCAAAAGTGTTAATGACTGATGAAAACACTTGTTATAAACAAAGTAGAATACAACATAATAAGTTAAATTGGAAAAAGTGGGAACTCAAAATAACCTTAGAAAAAAATACTTTTCCTGTGCATGCTTACACTCACTCCCTCTCTTCACACACAAACACACACACAATAATGATCCAGTGGTAGCAGCAGTAAAAGCAGCGCTTTTGCCTGCTTAGTCATCTAGTGCTACTATAACAGAAATACCACAAGTGGACAGCTTCAACAAAGAGAAATTTATTCTCTCACAGTCCAGTAGGCTACAAGTCCAAATTCAAGGCATGGGCTCCAGGGGAAGGCTTTCTCTGTTGGCTCTGGAGCAAGGTCCTTGTCATCAGTCTTTCCTTGGTCTGCGAGCATCTCAGCGCAGGAACCTCAGATCCAAAGGACACGCTCTGCTCCCAGAACTGCTTTCTTGGTGGTATGAGGTCCCATCTCTCTCTGCTCACTTTTCTCTTTTATATCTCAAAATAGATTGGCTTAAGACACTATCTAATCTTGTAGACCTCAGCAATGTAACTGCCGTTAATCCATTTTATTACTTCACAGTGATAGCATTTACAACACATAGGGAAATCACATCAGATGATAAAATGGTAGGATACAATACTGGGAATCATGACCTAGCCAAGTCGACATTTTTGGGGGACACAATTCAATCCATGACACCTGCCATCAATTTTCAAAAGCACTCCTATGCCCATATTTTGGTCTTTGCTAAAAGAATGGGTAAGGAGGGAAGCTGATAGATGTTTTGGGGGAGGAAAAAGTCAGACTTGTCTAATCTTCTTGTTGCTACAAACCACGAATGCTTTCAAGAATGTCAGGTACAGTGTTAAAAGGATGGAAAGTCAACTTAATGGGGTTCATTTAAAGTATATGTCTATTTATAAAGTTTAGCTATGTACTTGTGTCTATCAGTGGGTAAGCAAGAAAGAATAAATATGAGGAACAATGAGTAAGCTATATGTGGTTCCAGAAAAACAGGTACCACATTAATGGCTGCTATGTATTGTTGTGTAGACTGTGTGATGCCCATGGGTGCCTGATAAGGGAGCATGCCATTCAGCCTGAACTTTGTTTTCCAAACCATTTGCCCCATCCTGGAGCTGTCTCAATTCAGAGAAGGTGGTGTTGTGGTGTTGTTAGGTGCCATGGAGTCAGTTCCAACTCATAGTACAATAGAAAAAAACACTGCCCAGTCCTGAGCCATCCTCGCAGTCCTTGCTATGTTTGAGTCCATTGTTGCAGCCACTGTGTCAATCCATCTCATTGAGGGTCTTCCTCTTTTTCACTGACCCTCTACTTTACCAAGCATGATGTTTTTGTCAGGGACTGGTCCCTCCTGATAACCTGTCCAAAGTATATGAGATGAAGTCTCACCATCCTCGCTTCCAAGGAGCATCCTGGCTGTACTTCTTCCAAGACAGATCTATTCATTCTTCTAGCAGTCCATGGTATATTCAACATTCGTTGCCAATACTATAATTCAAATGCATCAACTCTTCTTTGATCTTTCTTATTCATCGTCCAGCTTTCGCATGCACATGAGGAGACTGAAAATACCATGGCTTGGATCAGGCTCAACTTAGTCCTCAAAAATGACAGCTTTGCTTTTTAACATTTTAAAGAGGTCTCTTTCAACAGATGTGCCCAATGCAATAAATCCTTTTTTTTTTTTAATTGTACTTCAGGTGAAGGATTACAGAACAAATATTTTCTCATGAAACAGAAGTACACATGTTGTTTTATGACATTGGTTAACAACCCCACAACATATCAACCCTTTAACTTCTCAAATTTTTTTTTTTTTGGTGAAAATACACATAGCCAAAGATACACCATTTCAAAAATTTCTACATGCACAGTTCAGTGAAATTGAGTACGCTCTTCCAATTGTGCTGTTATTCTCACTTAAGATGAAGGCTTACAGAACACAATAGTTTCTTATTTAACAGTTACTACACATGTTGCCCTATGACAATGGTTAACAATCTC